GACAAGCAAAGCTTCACCAAGAGGTCATGTGAGAAAAATCTGAAGGAGGTGAGAGAGTGATCATATGGCTATTTGGAGAAGAGTGTTCTAGGTGGATTGAACAGCAAGTAAAACTGCTATAAGACAGGAATTCTTGTGTGTCAAAGAAACAGCATTGAGGCCTGGGTAGCTGGAGCCAATGAGTGAGGTGGAGAGTAATCGAAAATGAAGTCACAGAAATAGTTGTGGATGGAGCAGTCAAAAATTGTAGGCCATTGCCCTGGCCAGTTTGGCTCAGCAGTTGGAGCGTTGGCCTGCAGACCAGAGAGTCCCAGGTTCGGTTCCCACTAGGGGCACATACCAAAAAAAATGTAGGCTATTGCAAGGACTTTGGCTATTGTTTTGAGAAAGATGGAATCTACTGGAGGGTTTTAAAACAGAGAATGACATAATCTGAGAATGTTAAAAGGCTCATTCTGCATTTTAAATACACTACCGAGAATAGGAAATGTCATTTATTTTGGTATATCAAGTAACTAATATTAACAGGTGCTAATAAATACCAAAAGGCTTGCCCTGGCCAGTTTGGCTCAACGGTTAGAGTGTCAGCCTGCAGACAGTCTCGACTCCTACCTGGGTTGCAGGTTTGATCTCAGTCCTGTTCAGGGTCATGTGAGAGGCAACTAATCGATGTGTCTCACTCACATTGATCTCTCTCCCTCCCTCCCTTCCACTCTATCTAATATATATAGGCTTACAACTTTTCATAGCACTCCAACTTTAAAATGACATTTTTAGATAATCAGGATATTTTAATATGGATAAGATATTAGATGATACAAATTGTATTTTTAGGTGTGATAATGACATTATAGTTATATTTAAAAGAGAGCATATTAACTAGAGATACATATAGAGTTTTTACTAATAAAATCAGTGGTGTTCAGGTCTTGCTTTACATGCTCCAGCAAGAGTAAGCAAATACATAAAAGTGAGAGGATTGATCAAACAAAATTAGTAAAATGTTGATGATCATTAAAGTAGGTGATGGATGTGTGGTGTTCATTATACTGTTTACTATATTTTCTCTACTTCTATGTATTTTTGAAATGTCTATAATAAAGTTTTATGTATATTTATATATATAAATATTTATATAGAGATATAAAGATATCTCTAGATATAGATAGCTATTTACAGAGATATGTAGATTAGATAAAATATATTTTATTTAGTAATTCTGTCTTTAATAATTCTACCTTTAAAAATTTATTAAAATAAATAATCAGCCCTGACCAGTGTGGCTCAGTTTGTTGTGCGTTGTCCTGTGCATCAAAAGGTTGCTGGTTCAGTTCCCGGTCAGGGCACATGCCCGCCTGTTCGGTCCCCAGTGGGGGTGCATGAGAGGCAATCTCTTCATGTTTCTTTCTAGCATCGAGATTTCTCTCTCTCTTTTTCTCTCCCTTCCTCTCTCTCTAAAGTCAATAAAAACATTTTAAAAAAAAGAAATAATCAGATATGCCCAAAGATGTAAGTAAAAGAATTTTTATCTGCCCAGCCTGTGTGGCTTAGTGCTTGAGCCTCGACCCATGCACCAAGAGGTCACCAGTTCAATTCCCAATCAGGACACATGCCCAGGTTGTGGGCCTGATCCCCAGTGGAGGGCATGCAGGAGGTGACCAATCGATGTTCTCTCTCATTGATGTTTCTGTCGCTCTCTCACTCTCCCTTCCTCTCTCTCCCTAAAAGCAATAAACAAATTTTTTTTAAAGAATTTTTATCTTAGTGTCCTCATAATAGCTAAAATTTGAACAAGTTATATATTTAACAGTTGGAAAATAAAAACCATGTTATAGCCCACACAGAATATTATTCTGTCCTTAAATTGTTTTCAAAGACTATTTAATGGCATTAAAAATCTTCAAAATAAAGTGTAAAGTGAAAAAAGCAGAATAAAAAATTGGATAAAATATCCCAATTTTGACTGAACTATCTATAAATATTTATAGATAAAAAGCTAAATTATTTCTAGTAGTTAACGCTAGGTGGTAGAATTTTCAGTCATTTTTATTTAATACTTTATACTTATGTATTTTTTAAAAATTTTAATAAACTTACCTGATGTTATTAAACAACAGAAGATACTATAAAAGTCTTGGCTTAAACCTTTTTGATCAGGTAATACCCCTTATATTAGGATTTTTAAAAAATCAAATAGGGATAAAGATTAATGTTCCAGATTATTCATTGAATTGCTATTTATATTAGCAAAAAAAAAAAAAGGAAATGTTTGAATGACCACTATATTGGAGAATGATTAAATTATGGTACATTCATATGTAGCTTAGTAAATGTTTTCAAAGAGTGGACTACAGAAAACATTCACGATATAATAAAAAGGAAGATACTGAATCATGTATATAATATGATTTCAGTTATGTTTTTTTTTTTTTAAGAAGACTGAAGATAATAAAAAATATTAGCAGATTGTGGGTAGTTTTAATTTTAATTTTCCTACTTTCTAGGTTTTTTCTGAAGTTTCTACAGTTAGCATGTATTATTTTATAATCTAAAAAACATTCAATACTTTGAAAAAAGGGTAGGTATAGAGAGAAGAAAATGGATTATTTAAAGAGGAAAAAGAGACCTGGAATCACTGCTAGAGGAAATGTGTTAAGGAGTTAATGAAATGTAAATGATTTTTTTTTAAGGCTGAATTTGATGTAATTGTGTAAGCCTCTTTCTATGTCCTCCAGCAGTGCTCCCTGGGCTGGCAGCAAAATTAGGGGAAGTAGCTGTAGTCATCTAGGATTAGTAGTATTTGGCCAAAGGTGAGGGCATTTGTGTTGCTGGTCGATCTCCACAGTGGACATGAAGATGTTTTTAATCATTGTAAAGTTCTAAACAAATACTATTGGTAGTTTTTAATATGTCCTCATGCCCACTGTCCTACTTCAAGCCCTCATTATTCTTACATAAACTTACTGAGAGCTTTTCTTGCCTCCATTCTCTTTCTCAAAATAATTTTTTATACTATTGCCCAGCATTCTTTTTCTGAAGCCCTAGTCAGATCATGTTATTTTTTATTTTCAGAAACTTGTTGGCTCTCCATTGCATTAGAATGTCTGAACTTTTACCCTGGCTGGGTAGCTCAGTTGGTTAGAGCATCATCCTAATATGCCAAGGTTGGGTGTTCAATCCCCAGTCAGGGCACCTGCAAGAATCAACCAATGAATGCATGAATAGCTGGAACAACACGTAAATGTTTCTCTCTCTCTCTCTCTCTCTCTCTCTCTCTCTCTCTCTCTCTCCCCCCCCACCCTCCCTCTCTCTCCCTCTCCCTCCCTCTCCCTCATTCCCCCCCTCATTTCCCCCTCCCTCTCCTTTTCTCCCTTTCTCCCTTCTTCTCTCTCTCTCTAAAATCAATTTATAAAAAAGAATATCTGAACTTTTAAGACACAAATTCAAGGCTCTTTATGATCTGGTCTCAATGTACTTTTCTGCCCTAATCCCCTACAGTATCTCCATATACTTTTCTCACCATCCTCATTTCCTACCTACCCTTTCCGAAATATGCAAGGCTTAGCTAACATTCCATATTTTTTGCTCATGCTAACATCCTCTAAAAATTTAAGGAACAATCTCTGAACTTGATGTTAAATGACTTGTATTTCTGCTTTGGTTCTGCTGTTTGCAGGTGGCCATGTAACCCTTTTTTTTTTTTTCCTTCATTGATTTTAGAGAGAGTGGAAGGAAGAGGGAGAGAGAGACAGAAACATCCATGAGAGAGAACATCAATTGGCTGCCCCCTGCATGCCCCCCACTGGGGGTTGGACCCACAACCTGGGCATGTGCCCTGACCGGGAATCAAACTGGTGACCTTGGTTCATGGGTCAATGCTCAACCACTGAGCCACACCAGCTGGGCCCGTATGACCTTCAATAAGTTATTTTAACCTCTTTTAGCCTCAATTTTTTAAAATCTTTCTATCTTCGTAATGTTAATACCTGCCTCTTAGAGTTGTTAGGATTCATTCAGATTATGCATACAAAAGCGTGTTGTAAACTAAATGCAAGGCACAAAAGAATGGCATTATTATTCACCTACCTCTGTCAGATGCTTTTGACTTCAAATAACAGAACTCCAACTGAAAATGGCTTAAACAATGAGGAAGCGAGTCTGGAGGTAAGGCGGTTCCAGGGGGGCTAATTCAGCACCTCAGTGGTATCATCAAGGACACAGAGTCCTACCATATTTCTGCTTTGCTATTCTTTATCTGTTCTCTTGGGTTGGTTTCCCTACTGGTCCTACGATGATTACTACACTCTTAGATGTCACATGACACAACAATGTTTGGAGGCAGGAAAAAAGAAGGTCTTTTATTTATTTTATTTTATTTTACTTACTTACTTACTTACTTATTTATTTATTTATTTATTTATTGGTGGTACGTGCCCCTAGCAGGAACCAAACCCTGGACTCTGGTCTCCAGGCCGACGCTCAACCTCTGAGCCAAAATGGCCAGGGCAGAAGTTCTCTTTTAATACGCCCTTCTTAAGAATGATTAAATCGTTTTAGAGCCTGCCCCTACTCTCTCCCCAGTAAACTTTTCCTCATGTCTAATGGAAAATTATGTAGCATGTGCCCATGCCTAAACCAGTCATCACTGGGACAGGGAATGAGCTTGTCTTGATTAACTTAGACCGATCAAGATCACCCCCTGGTGCTGGCTCCTACCTCCCCTGAAGTAACAGATGCTCAGAAAAGGACAAAGTAAGGACTCTGTTAGGAAGTGAAAAGATTGAGATAGCACAGTGTTTTTCAGTTAATGATCCTGGTTTGTTATTTGTTAGGTCAAGGAGGTAAAGAGGTGATATATAGCAGGTCCAGCGTAAAGGAGTGTTTGCTGTTGATGGATCAAGATTTCAATCAGGCATCATACAAAATGAGAGAACAGATGGGGTGGGAAGAGTATGAAGCTTTCATTTTGCTAGTTTTAACATTTGTCTATGTCTAAATAGGTATGCAGTGGAGCTGATGAAGATCCCGATGATAAAAATGCACCATTTCGACAACGGCCATTTTGCAAATATAAAGGACATACTGCTGATCTCCTTGATCTTTCATGGTCTAAAGTAGGAAATTTTTATTTGTATTGTGTATTAGTCTGTGTAACTATTACTATAGGATAAAAACATGTTTTATTTATATGATTGTCACACTGTCAAGTGTTTGAATGTTCATATATACTTTGTGGGCGCTATATAATTGAAATTTTTTTAAAAAGACATCGCATTAGGCTCATAAGAAAATGTTCATATAATTTACCAACCTCTATCTGGATCTGTTTATATACCGTACCTTTTCCCTCTTATAATTTTGCAAAGTATCCTCAGCAAAATGGATATGACTTCAACTGCAAAGGTGAAGTCTGATCTATTTAAGACTGCTCTGGGGCTAATCTGTTACGTTTGTGAAATTATTAATTTAGGTTTAACAATTACATTCTAGGAATCTATGATAAATCATAATTTTGTGATTTTTTTCCCTTAGAATACAATTATTTCAGAAGCAGAGAGTCTGTTTTGCCACTGATCAGATATTTTTGAAGTTTTGTGAAAAGTAAAAGAGATATTTTAAATTTGATTTAGGTTCTTTGAAGCAGGAAGCAGTTTTTTAATTTTGCCTGATACCTTTCACTTTCTTTGTATTGAAATTTGTCAGTAATCAGAATCTAAAATATATTAAGAATTTGGGGCAAGGAATAATATTTAAAAGCCTTAAATTGAAAAAAGTCAACTGAGTTAACAAAATACTATGAGGGATACCAGTGATGCCCATATATTTTAACTATATCAGGAGAACCTCATGCACCACAAAGATGTCGCTTGAATATATTGGCAAGTCACGCTTTCTCTGAGCTCCAGCTTTGAAGCACTCCATTTATGAATTGCTGCTCCTATTATACTTGTTTAGATGTCTGGATGTTTTTAATGACCCATCAGTCGTATAATGCCTTTCTCTACATCCTGGAACAAGCTTTGGCCTCACCTTGTAGTCTGGTTTTAAACTGAACCTAATTGTGTCTTTGTACTCCTTTCCTACCCTGTGTAAAATCTGACTGAGTTGTCAGAAGATGGAAATCTAAAATGTCCTTAATCTGATAATCATTCACCTGGAGCAAGAAGTACAAAGCACACAATTGGGAACCTTGCACTCATTTTATTTTGTTAAAGCAAACCAGTATTTTTTTCCCCTGAACTGTCACTCTAACTGGAAGAAACTAGTTCTGCACTGACCACTGTCAGTCAGGGTCCACCAAAGTAACACAACCAAGACAATGTGCATGCATAAGGAGGTTTATTTTAACGAATTGGCTTACACAATAATGAGGGGAGCCAAGTTTGAAATCTATAGGGCAACACCAATCAGAAAGAATATATGTACCCACATGTTCATAGCAGCACTATTTACAATAGCTAAGATTTGAAAAAAGCCCAAATTTCCATCAGTAGATGAATGGATAAAAAAGCTGTGGTACATATACACAATGGAGTACTATGCAGCTGTAAGAAAGAAAGATCTCTTATCCTTTGGGACAACATGGAGGGACCTGGAAAGTATTATCCTAAGTGAAACAAGCCAAGCAGACAAAGACAAATACCACATGATCTCAGTTATTTATGGAATATAATGAACATAACAGTCTGAGGAATAGGGTAGACCCAGAAACATGGAAGTAGGGTACAGACTGACAACCCTCAGAAGTGGGGGTGGTGGGGGGTGGAGGGTGGGAAGAGATAAATCACAGAACTTATATGCATGTTTGCATAACCAATGGACATGGACAACAAAGCCGTGGACTGGGTGGGGGTGGATGGGGAGGAGGGTGTCAGTGGAGTATAAAAGGAGAAACATCTGTAACAAAAATAAAATTTAAAAAATAAATTAAGACTTCTGGTCAAGATGGCAGCATAGGTAAACGCAGTATCTCGTCCTCCCACAACCACATCAAAGTTACAACTAAACTACAGAACAACCATCATTCAAAACCACCTGAAATCAAGCTGAATGGAAGTCCTACAACTACAGAATTAAAGCAGCAGCCACATCCAGACTGGTAGGAGGGGCGGCGGCGCAACGGGCTGGTCCCACACTCAAGTGTGGCGGATAAAAATCAGGAGGCTACCTTGGCTGGGAAGGTCCTTCCTGAGGACTGAGGGGTCCCCGTCCCACACCAGGTGCCCCACTCAGGGTTCCAGTGCCAGGAAGAGAAGTCCCCATAACTTCTGGCTGGAAAAACCAGTGGGAACTGAGGCTCAGGGAAGCTGAAGCGGCTGGAGCCCCAGGCAGCTCCCTAAAGGGCCCGCGCACAGACTTATCGGACTCTCTCCCTCTAAGCTCGGAGGGGAGGCAGCTCGAGGGGCGCCAGAGATATACAGGGAAGAACTGAGTTGTTAGGCACTGGATCGAGGGCTGGAGAGGGGGCTTTCTCTGGGACAAACATGATGTCAGAGGCCTTTGTTCCTTTGGTGAGCCCTTCCCAGGGGCAGCAGACAGTCGCCATATCTGGGACTCCAGCAACCTGGCTCACACTGGTAGCCCCGCCCTGCTGACTCCCTGAGGCCCCGCCCCACCCAACTTTCAGGCCCACCCAAGCTGTTGGCACTTGCTTAACCATAGGATTGGCCTGTCTTGGATCCTGCTTCAGGTTTTCCTAAATTCTTTCAAACGAGCAGCATCTGGTCTCAGCTAGCCCCATACCTCTAGTTAAGTAATACACTGAAACAAACACAGGGAGGCAGCCAAAATGAGGAGACAAAGAAACAGGTCCCAAATGAAAGAACAGAACAAAACCCCAAGAAAAGAACTAAGCGAAATGGAGATAAGCAACCTAACAGATGCTGAGTTCAAAATACTGCTTATAAGGATTCTCAATGAACTTAGTGAGAACCTCAGTGAACTTAGGGAGGGCCTCAAGAGCATAAAAAAGGACCAGTCAGAAATCATGGATACACAGTTAGAATTGAAGGAGGCATTAACTGAAATAAAGAATAATTTACACAGCTTCAATAATAGAGAACATAAATGCAAGGAGCAAACCATCGATTTGAAATATAAGGAAGCAAAAAATGCCCAATCAGAACAGCAAAAAGAAAAAAGAATCCAAAAAAATGAGGATAGTGTAAGGAGCCTCTGGGACACCTTCAAGTGTGCCAACATTCGCATCTTGGGGGTGCCAGAAGGAGAAGAGCGAGAACAAGAAATTGAAAACCTGTTTGAAACAATATTGGCAGAAAACTTTCCTAACTTGGTGAAGAAAACAGACATACAAGTCCAGGAAGCACAGAGAGTCCCAAACAAGATGAACCCCAAGAGGCCCACACCAAGACACATCATCATCAAAATGCAAAAGGTTCAAGACAAAGAGAGAATCTTAAAAGCAGCAAGAAGAAAGCAATTAATTATCTACAAGAGAGTTACCATAAGGCTGTCAGCTGATTTCTCAAAAGAAACTTTGCAGGCCAGAAGGGAGTGGCAAGAAATATTCAGAGTGATGAAAAACAAGAACCTACAACCAAGATTACTCTATCCTGCAAAGCTGTCATTTAGACTCAATGGGCATATAAAAACTTTCCCAGACAAGAAAAAGTTAAAGGAGTTCATCACCACCAAACCATTATTATATGAAATGATGAAGGGTCTTTTTGAAGAAAAAGATAAAATATATGAACAAACAAAATGGTAATGAATACATATCTATCAACAATGGAATCTGCAAACAAAATGAACAGGTAGAACAGAAACATTCTCATAGATACAGAGAACATTTTGTTGGTTGCCAGATGGGAGGGGGATTGGGGGAATGGGTGAAAAAGGTGAAGGGATTAAGAAGTACAAATTCATTGCTAGACTGAAAAACCTCAAAGGGAAAGGGGTTGGGGGGGTGGGAATAAATAAACCAAAGAACTTATATGCATAACCGATGGACACAGACAATAGTGTGGGAAAAGGTGGGAGGGGGGCGGGAGTGGGGAGGAGGGGGCCAATGGGGGAAAAATGTGGAACATCTGTAATACATTTTACATCCAACAATAAAGATTCAAAAAAAAAGAAATTAAAAAAAAAAAAATCTATAGGGCAGGAATCACCCTGGAGTCTTAAGGAAGTATTTCTTCAGGAAACTGGTTTTTATTCTAAAGGACTTCATCTGTCTGTATGTTCTTTTTTTAAACTTTCTTTTTTACTTACCTACTTTATGTACATTTCTAGGTCTTGTTTGCAACAAGATCCTAAGCTCTTTGAAAATAGGGACCAAATCTTATTTTATTGTTGTTTATCCTCAGCATCTAGCATAATTGGTGTTTATAGTGTGTTTTCTTTTTGTTGAAGACTTATTTTGTACCAGGTGACAAGAATTACCTTGTTAATTCTTATAGTGATAGCCCTGTGAGGTAGATAATATTTAATTTTGTAGATTAGAAGATCACAAAACTAGTTATGGTTAGAACTTAGATTTGAATCTAATTTCTTTGACTCCCAACATTATGCTTAGTTTAATAAAAGTATTTAATTTTACTTATTCAATAATTATTTATTGAACAGAAATCTCTGGGCATATTAGAACTAATCTTAACATGTCTTCATCATCTTCACTTCTAGGGATGTCTTCATATTTCTTTCATAATACTTCAAGCAATAGACTTTTGCAAAAATTGAATAAAGTTAGTTTTAATGAACAACAGACCATAGATTTAGTTTTTATATACTTATTATTAACAGGAAATATAACATAAACTGTATATATGTACTCTTTAAAACTTTTCTGGAACTAAGTAGATCTTGAAAATAAAAATTGTTATTAGATTTTTTTAAAGATTAAATTTTTTTTTTCTTTGTTGACTTTAGAGAGAGAGGAAGGGAGAGGGAGAGAAAGATAGAGACATCGATGAGAGAGAACATCAATTGGCCGCCTCCTACATGCCCTGCACTGAGGATTTGGCCCACAACCTGGGCACGTGCCCTGACTGGGAATCGAACCAGCAACTCTTGGTGCATGGGTCGATGCTCAATCACTGAGCCACACCAGCCAGGCAACATTATTTTTATTGATTTATTTTTTTAGAGAGAAGAGGGGAGAGAGAGACAAATATCGATGTGAGAGGGAAACATCAATTAGCTGCCTCCTAATGCCCCCTACTGGGGATTGAGCCCACAACCCAGGCATGAGCCCTGACCAGGAATCATATCCACAACCCTTTGGGGCATGGGACAGTGCCCAATCAACTGAGCCATACAAGCCAGGGCTGTTATTAGATGTTTTAAAATTATTATAAATCTTTCAAAATTCTGGGTGTTTTCTATTTTTTGTTTTGTTTTTTTTATAGTTTAAAACTATTTTTTTTCTTCTGTAAAATTCTGTTTTTTATTGGCAATATATACCATTTATTTAAAACTAGGTAAACTACATAAAATGTATGCCTTATAAACTAGCCCAAATAGCATATATGTATCAATACAGTTAGTTACATGTCCAGATCAATGTTTGTGCTTAGTCTTTCTACATTTAACGATGAAAGATTATTTCATTGCTTTAAGTAAGCAACAAAGCATCTGGTTGTTTTCCATAAAATATGTTCTACTTAAGCACTCTGCAGAATAGTGTAGTGGTTAGAACCTGGACCTAAAGCCAGACTACCCATTCTGCCACTGACAAGCTGTATAGTCTTAGACAAATTATTCAATTTCTTTGCCTCAGTGTTCTCATGTATAAAAGAGGATAATCTACTTACCCCGTAGGGTTGCTGTATAGTGCTAAGAACAATGTTTATCACATTGTAAGTACTCATTAAGTGTCATCAGTACTTCAATTTGCTTAGTACTTTTATGCATACCAAAGAATACTAAGGTCTGATTTTGTTTTGTTTTATTTTTTATTTCTAAATATGTTTTTACTGATATTTTTAGAGAGAGAGGAAAGGGGAGAGAGATCGAAACATCAATGTGAGAGAGATACATCGATTAGCTAGCTGCTTCCTGCACACCCCTTACTGGGGCTCGAGTCTGAAACCTGGGCATGTGCCCTGACTGGGAATGGAACCAGGACCTCTCAGTCCCTGGGATGATGCTGGATCCACTGAGTCATGCTGGCCAGGCTGATTTTGGTTTTCACATTCAGTGTGACTCATAGTTCTCCCCTTAAATAGATTGTGTTTAGAAATTAAAGAGCTTCTGTCAGCTGGAAGCTTTTGAAAGATAAATGTTTGGTTCCTGGGTAATGGGCCATTGTAATGCCTAAATCAGTTATACTAACCTCTTGTAGCTTTGAAAATTCTGTGATGTGTTCTGAGAGATTTGACAATTTCTATTCTCTAATTTTCTTGCCTACAGTGTGACAGGTACACAATAACTTTTCCTTTCCATGCTATATTATAGGGTAATATTTTTAAAGTGATTTTAAGTGACAGTTAGGGAATCCATGTGAATTAAAATTCACCCATATTGTCAATGTGAAAGTAACTAAACTGAAGTGACAATTAAATGAATAGATACCTTATAGTTATAGCTAAGTTTCAATATAATTCCAGAATAGGTAATGTTAAAAAGTCTTAGAATCTAAGAAATATGCTATTTAACTGTTTCAAAGAAAATGGGATCTTCCAAGTAAACTGGATAATATTTTTGATGCTGTGTATAATAATACTAATAACAAAACTATTGTGGTACATATAAACCAAAAGTTCACTTTTATTGTATAAGTAGTTTTTCTCATGGTGATAAAATAATCAATGGAAATTTTTCCGTAGAACTACTTTCTGCTTTCTTCTTCGATGGATAAAACAGTCAGGTTATGGCATATTTCCAGAAGAGAATGCCTTTGCTGTTTTCAGCATATAGATTTTGTCACTGCCATAGCTTTTCATCCAAGAGTAAGTAATTGTTTACCCATTTTTTTTGTTATACTATAAGGAAGGTGAGGGAACCAAGTTTCTCTGGAGGGTAATTGGATTACAGAAAAGCAATTAACAGCCACAAGTTAATTTAGTTTTTTTTTTATTTTGCATTAAAAATGAGAAAGGAAATAAATACGCTGCTAATCTGCATTAGAAAAACTGGAAATATTATATTCTAAATATAACAGTGAAAAGGCATTCCAAATCTTTAATAAGATGCAGGGTATAAATAAAGCATCCTAGTATATATGAGAGGTATTGGAGATGGTAGAAGAAGAAAAGACAGCAGATGGATAAATGAGAAAGGAAAACGTATAGGCAAGAATAGTCCTGGGAGGGTTGGGAAGGAAGGAGGAAGAGCAAAAGGTTGAAAAATGCAAAGTCCAAAATTTGTTACAAGATAATGCTGAATTCCTATTTAATGTCTAGAAGCATTGTTAATCTTGGAATCCCTTCTTACTAGTTTTCTTTTTTCTTTTTGAGAGAGAAAGAGAATTGTGTATTTTAGCTTAGCAGATACAGCACAGTTTTCCAAAACACTCGCACCAATTTGCACTTCCATAAATAGTGTATTAGCCAGTCTTGTGGGGGTTGTAGTAGTAGTTTAAGTGGTATCATTTCCAATATAGAAAATCCTTTAATATCTTTCTTCTGGAAAGAAAGAATTTCATATGATTTCAGCTAAAGGAGAAAAGTTTACTACCTTGGAATTGCAGAATAGAATATGTTCTACCCATATAGGATAGAGCCATCAAACGCATAAGGCTAAATTAGTTTTAGTTCTTTGCAACTACTGTATGTAAGCACAGGGAAGTCACATGTTAATTCTACTTCATTAGGTAGGTTGAAATAAGTGGAGGACTTAAGCTGACCCTTGTTGATGTATGATTACTTTCCCTCTCCTGTGTTGATGTGTGATTATATCTACAATCATGTCCTCATCTCTATAAGTTTAATATCCATTGTCTTTTTTTTACTTTATTTTTCTTGTTGACACTATTAGAGATGTCCCCCATTTCCCCCACCTTTGCCCCCCTCCACCCAGCCCCTGCCCCCACCCCACACCATCACCACACTGTTGTCTTTTTCTTTTTTAATTCTCACCAGAGGATATGCTTTTCATTGATTCTAGATAGAGAGGAAGGGAGAGGGAGATAGAGAGAGAAACATCCATGTGACAGAGAAACATCAATTGGTTACTTCTGTACGCACCCCTACCAGGGATCAAATTCACAACCCAACTATGTGCCCTGACCAAGAATTGAACCTGCAGCCCTTCGATGCTTGGGACGACGATCTAACCAACTGAGCCACACCAGCCAAGGCCAGACTGTTGTCTTTTTTTTTTTCATCCTCATCCAAGGACATTTTTCCATTTTTTGTTCAGATAGAGTGGGAGGAAGAGAGAGAGAGAGAGAGAAACATCGACATAAAAGGAACACATCGAGTGGCTGCCGCCCGCACGACCAACCAGGGCCGGGGACAATCTGCAACCACGGTACATGCCCTTAGCGGAAACTGAACCCGGGTCTCTCTGGACCGCAGCCCGATGCTCTAACCACTGAGCCAAACCAGCCAGGGCCAGACTGTTGTTTTTTTAATGCAATGTTTCAATTATATTCTCATTTCTTCCTCTTTCTCCCCAGATTAAGAGAGAAAGTGACATAGTTTGCTTCCCTCAATATACTTTCCCTCCCTGGGCAAGCTTGTAACATAGGCAGTAATAATTCTGAACCCTTAAAAAACTTGGGTAAGAACTTTTGAAAATTAAAAATGTTAAATATGTGTGAATACCTTATCAGTTTTAACCATCAAGCCTTCGAGGCTTTCTGAATAACACCCCTACCTGTCACCCAAGATTGCAATAAAAGGATGGATTTACTCCTGTCAGCAACTGTGAGAAAAATCCTTTCCTATACCTCTATTTTAACTATAATGTTAAAGTGGAAAGAAATAACTATTAGGTGGTGATAGTTATCTATGTAGTACATTATTATCAAGGTTTCTGTTTAGTCAATAATTCTTCTATACTTTTATTTGATTTTATTTTGGAAACTGAAAAGCCCTATTTCTAAAAAGTCGTGCCCATGGGCTGTATAAAGCCCGTGAAATCAATACCAGCTGACATCACAGGCCTTACCAAATTAGCCTGATCAAATATAGCAGGCTAATTTTTAAGTTGATAATTTTCTATGGCCCATGATTGATGCTATAAATATCTAAATGGCTCTTGGCAGAAAAAAAGGTTCCACACCCCTGTGAGTGAAGGCTGTCTTGTGCACTCGAGGATGTTTAGCAGCATTCCTGGCCTCCACCAACTAGATGTCAGTAGCACCCCACCCCCACTTGTGACCATCAAAAGTGTCTTCAGCCCAGGCCAGTGTGGCTTAGTTGGTTGAGTGTCATCTGGTGCACTGGAGGGCCTCTGGTTTGATTTCCGGTCAGGACACATGCCCAGGGTACAGGCTCAATACCCGGTTGGGGTGCATTTAGGAGGCACTGATTGATGCTTTTCTTTCTCCTTTTCTCTCTAAAATCAAGAAAAACATATTTTAAAAATATGTCTTCAGACATTGCTAGATGTTCCCTATGGGGACAAATTGTTCCAGTTGAGAACCCCCCTGGATTGAAATTGAGAATTTGATTAGTGAAGTGATTCTCTGCTGACATGGTGTCAGAGTGTCAATAATTGGGTGGTTCTGTGGGCTAACTGGCATTACTCCTTTGTCCAGCTGTTAATATATGTCCCAGAGAAGGCTATGGGCAAATGTATCATTTTAAGATAGTTTTTCCCAAAGCATGTTTCTTGAAGTTACTAACCCTGCTAAATGTTCCTACCCTGACCCCCACCAACTCTCTACAAAAACAAGTTCATGGTTCGCCCTGGCCAGTTTGGCTCAAAGGTTAGAGCATTGGCCTGCAGACCAAAGGATCACGGGTTTGATTCTGGTCAAGGGTATGTACGTGGGTTGCAGGTTCAATCCCCAGGCCTAGTCAGGTATGTCTCTCTCACATTGATGTTTCTCTCTCTTTCTCCCTCCCACCCTTCCACTCTCACTAAAAAAACTCAATGAAAAAATATCCTCGGGTAAGGATTAACCAAATAAAAAAAAGTTCTTGATTAAATAAGCTGGAAAATGCTACCTACTTTATCCATCTTTTGGAACTCAATATCTTGTTTAATTTTCTGTAACCCAGAATTTTTTTTTATCCTCATCTGAGGACATTTTTGCATCCATCTTCAGATGTGGGGTGCATCAATGTGAGAGGGACACATCGACCAGCTGCCACCTACACAATCCCAACTGGGGCCAGGGACAAACTGCAACCAAGGCACATGCCCTTAGCGGGAACCGAACCTGGGACCTGCTCTAACCGCTGAGCCAAACCAGCCCGGGCTTATAACCCAGAATTTTTCAAACACGATCACAGAAACCTCCTACAAAATATACATTTCAATATATTATCCATTAACATCCATACTTTGATAAAAGCAGTTTAAGGATATGATAAAATGATCACAATGCCATTTCTTCAACATGAATGCTATATTTTTGCTTTTTGAGAGAGAGAGACATCAGTGTGAGAGAAAAACATGGATTGGTTGCCTCCCAAATGCGCCCTAACTGGGGATCGAACCTGCAGTCTGGGTATGTGCTCTGACTGGGAATCAAACTTGAAACCTTTTGGTGTAGGGGATGACACTCCAACCAACTGAGCCACACTGTCCAGGGCAATACTATGTTTTCTAATTGTTATTTTTAGTGAATAAAGTAATGCTTTCTTGAAGAATACTTTAATACTTTTCAAATGAGATCTACATATTTTAAACATTTCTAATAGAGCTAATGTATTGATTTCCTAATGAGTTTTTTCTTGATGTGGTAAAATGAAAGCTTTTTAAACTTTTGTCACATTTTTAGGATGACCGGTATTTTCTAAGTGGGTCATTGGATGGAAAGCTTCGCCTTTGGAACATACCTGACAAAAAAGTAGCTTTGTGGAATGAAGTAGATGGTCAAACAAAATTGATCACAGCTGCAAATTTCTGTCAAAATGGCAAATATGCAGTGATTGGGACATATGATGGCAGGTGCATTTTCTATGATACAGAGGTAAATGACTCTCTTGTGTAAATTATGTAATTGAATAGTTAGGAAAGCACTTGTGGTTTTGAATAACTTATATCCTCTCTGCACTTTAACTGCCTTATCTGTAAATTGGGGCAATTATTATGATGTCTGTCTGTGAGTTGGATCAGATGACCTTTGAGGTTCCTTCTAATTCTGATCTTTTAAATTTGTGATTTCTTTTTAGCATTTGAAATACCACACGCAAATACATGTTCGATCTACCAGGGGACGCAACAAGGTTGGAAGAAAAATTACTGGCATTGAGCCTTTACCGGGAGAAAATAAGGTACTAAGTATTCAGAATTCTCTGTCTATATATAGACTCCTGAAAGTTAGTTCTTAATATCTTGGCTAAGAATATATTCCCTTTCCTATGGAATACTACTTTTTCTAGTTTTGAAGTATGTTCTGTATGTGTATACACCTTTTATGATTATAGCTTAACTTAGATTAAAAGATTGTATATTTAACTTTTCCCTTGATTTATTTTTAGATACTGGTAACCTCAAATGACTCCAGAATCAGACTCTATGATCTCAGAGATTTGTCACTTTCCATGAAGTATAAGGGTTATGTCAATAGCAGCAGCCAGATCAAAGCAAGTTTCAGGTAAGTTGGCAATGAGAAATTTCCAAAGGAGACCAGAACATTTCTCCTGTGTTCCTGCTTTCCATTGATCTACTAGAACTTATGTCTATATGATGTTTTCAGTTTCTTTGCACTTTTATATCTGGTATCTCATGTTATCATCATGCAGTACTTACCTTATCCACCTATATGGTAGATAGAGTTAGCATTGCCCCTATTCTACAGATGAAGAAACCAAGACCCAGAAAAATAAGTAACTTGCCTAAAATCACATTGGTTGGTGCAGAGCCAAGATTAGAAAACTCTCAGCTCCAGAATGTGTGCTTTTGTACTTTTACGTAAGGTTTTTGTTAGAGGCAGTTTTATTACCCACCCCACTCATGGTCTTGATCCTTTCAAGTACACAAGCTAATAAAGCTTTCAGCACCTTATTTACAACTTTACATATCATTATTTGAACTCCTAGAGGTCTAGAGGCTCTCCTGAACTACCTGCCTCTTCTTATAATCCTCTTTTTTTTTTTTACGTTTTTATTTAATTAAGTTATATATTTTTATTACAGATGTTTCTCCTTTTTGCCCCACTGATTCCGCCCTCCCTCTCCCTCCCCGCCCTGTCCCCAGCTTTGTTGTCCATGTCCCTTGTTCATGCATACATGCATATAAGTTCTGTGGTTTATCTCTCCCCCACCACCCCCTCTTCTGGGGATTGTCAGTCTTTACCCCACTTCCACGTCTATGGGACTACCCCATTCCTCAGACTGTTATGTTCATTATATTACAAAAATAAGTGAGATCATATGATACTTGTCTTTCTCTGTTTGGCTTATTTCACTTAGGATAATACTTTCCAGGTCAGTCCATGTCGTCTCAAAGGATAAGAGATCCTTTTTTCTTACACCTGCATAGTACTCCATTGTGTATATGTACCACAGCTTTTTTATCCATTCGTCTACTGATGGACATTTGGACTGTTTCCAGATCTTAGCTATTGTAAATAGTGCTGCTACAAACATGGGGGTACATATATTCTTTCTGATTGGTGTTACAGGCTTCTTAGGGTATATTCCTAGAAGTGGGATCACTGGGTCAAATGGAAGTTCAATTTTTAATTTTTTGAGGTAACATCATACTGCTTTCTATAGTGGCTGCACCAGTCTGCATTCCCACCAGCAGTGTACTAGAGTCCCCTTTTCTCCACACCCTCGCCAACACTTGTTTGATGATTTGTTGATGGTGACCATTCTGACAGGTGTGAGGTGATACCTCATTGTTGTTTTAATTTGCATCTCTCTGATGATTAGTGATGTTGATCATTTCTTCATATGTCTCTTAGCCATTTGTATGTCCTGTTTGGAGAGGTGTCTATTCAGCTCCTCTGCCCATTTATTAATTGGGTTTGTTGTTTTCCTTTTGATCAGTTGTATGAGCAATCTATATATATTGGAAATTAACACTTTATCTGATGGATCATTGGCAATTATGCTCTCCCATACAGTGGGTAGCCTTTCCATTTTGATTTTATCTTTTGCTGTGCAGAAGCTTTTGAGTTTGATGTAGTCCCATGTGTTCATTTTCTCCTTTGTTTCTATTGCCTTAGGGGATGTATCAGTGAAAATTCTGCTGCATATGATGTCTGAAATTTTGTTGCCTACAGTTTCTTCTAGGATTTTTATGGATCCATGAGTCACATTTAAGTCTTTTATCCATTTTGAGTTTATTCTTCTGTATGGTGTAAGTTGATGGTCTAGTTTCATTTTTTTGCATGTAGCTGTCCAATTTTCCCCACACCATATATTAAAGACGCTGTCTTTTCTCCACTGTATCTTCTTGCCACCTTTGTCAAATATTAATTGAGCATATTGCCTTGGGTCCATTTATGGGTTCTCTGTTCTGTTCCACTGGTCTATATGTCTGTTCTTGTGCCAGTACCAGGCTGTTTTGATTACAGTGGCTTTTTAGTATAACCAGAAATCTGGTAATGTGATCCTTCCAAATTTGTTCTTCTTTTTCAAGATTGCTGTGGCTATTCGAGGTCTTTTTTGGTTTCATATGAACTTTTGAAGTGTTTGTTCTAGTTCTGTGAAGTATGTCGTTGGTATTTTGATGGGGATTGCATTGAATCTATACATTGCTTTGGGTAGTATGGACATTTTAATGATGTTAATTCTTCCAATCCATGAACAGGGTATGTGCTTCCACTTTTTTATATCTTCCTCTATTTCTTTTTTCAATGACCTGAATTTTTCTGCGAATAGGTCCTTTATTTCTTTGGTTAAGTTTATTCCTAGGTATCTTAATATTTTTGCCACAATGGTAAATGGGATTGTTTTCTTAGTTTCTCTTTCTGTGAGTACATCATTGGTATATAAGAATGCCATCGATTTATTGACGTTAATTTTGTATCCTGTTACTTTCCCAAATTCATTTACCAAGTCTAGTAAATTTTTGATTGAGTCTTTGGGGTTTTCTACATATAGTATCATGTCATCTGCGAATAATGACAGTTTCACTTCCTCCTTTCCAACTTGGATCCTTTTTATTTTTTCTTCCTATCTGATTGCTGTGGCTAAAATTCCCAGTATTATGTTAAATAAGAGAGGCGAGCCCTGGCCGGTTTGGCTCAGCGGTTAGAGCGTCGGCCTGCACTCCAGAGAGACTTGGGTTTGGTTCCCGCAAGGGTTCGTACCTTGGTTGCAGTTTGTCCCTAGCCCTGGTTAGTCGTGCGGGTGGCAGCCACTTGATGTGTCCCTTTCACGTTGATGTTTCTCTCTCTCTCTCTTCCTCTCTTTCCCTCCCACTCTGTCTGAACAAAAAATAGAAAAATGTCCTCGGGTGAGGATAAATAAATACATAAATAAGAGTGGCGAAAGTGGGCATCCCTGTCTTGTTCCTGTTGTTGCGGGAAATGCCTTTACTTTTTGCCCATTGAGTATGATGTGGCTGTAGGTCTTTCATATATGGCCTTTATTATGTCAAGATATGCTCCCTCTATTCCCACATTGCTGAGCGTTCTTATCAGAAATGGATGTTCGAGTCTGTCAAAGGCTTTTTCGGCATCTATTGATATGATCATGTGGTTTTTATTCTTCATTTTATTTATGTGGTGTATCACATTTATTGATTTGCAAATATTGTACCAGCCTTGCATCCCTGGGATGAATCCCACTTGGTCATGATGAATAATTTTTTTATGTATTGCTGGATCCAATTTGCTAGTATTTTGTTCAGGATTTTGGCGTCTATGTTCATCAGGGATATTGGCCTGTAGTTTTCTTTCTTTGTAGTGTCTTTTTCTGGTTTTGGAATAAGAATTATGCTGCCTTCATAAAAGGAGTTTGGAAGTCTTCCTTCTTCTTGAATTTTTTAAAATAGTTTGAATAGAATGGTGTTAGTTCTTCTTTGAATGTTCTGTAAAACTCCCCCGTGAAGCCATCCGGGCCCAGGCTTTTGATTGCTGGGAGAGTCTTGTTTATATCTTCAATTTCTTTAGTTGTTATTGGTCTGTTCAAGTTTTCTCTCTCTCCCTGGTCAAGTTTTGGGAGACTATGTATTTCTAGAAATTTGTCCATTTCGTTTAGATTGTCGAATTTGTTGCCATATAATTGTTCATAGTAGTTGTTAATGATCTTTTGTATTTCTGTGGTGTCAGTTGTTACTTCTGCTCTTTCATTTCTGATTTTGTGTATTTGGGTTCTCTCTATTTGTTTCTTGGTGAGTCTAGCTAAGGGTCCATCAATCTTCTTTATCTTTTCAAAACACCAGCTCTTTGTTTCATTGATCCATTGAATTATTATTATTTTTTTTGGACTCTATGTCATTTATTTTTGCTCCAATCTGTACTATTTCCTTCCTTCTACTTGCTCTGGGGTTTTCTTTTTGTTTGCTCTCTAGTTTTTTAAGTTGTGAGGTTAGATAGTCTATTAGAGATTTTTCTTGTTTCTTGAGGTAGGCCTGTAGTGCTATGAACTTCCCTCTCAGAACTGCTTTCGCTGCATCCCATAGATTTTGTGATGTTGTATGTTCATTTTCATTGGTTTCCAGGAAGTTTTTAATTTCTTCCTTGATCTCCTCGGTAACCCATTCATTGTTTAATAACGTGCTATTTAGCCTCCATGTGTTCAAATGCCTTTGCATGTTTTTCTTGCAAATGATTTCTAGTTTCATGCCATTGTGATCTGAGAAGTTGCTTGATATGATTTCAATCTTCTTGAACTTGTAGAGATTTAGTTTGTGTCCTATCATGTAGTCTATCTTTGAGAATGTCCCATGTGCACTTGAGAAGAATATGAATTCTGGAGTTTTGGGGTGTAATTCTCTGTAGATATTTATTAAATCCATTTGGTCTAGTGCTTCATTTAGAGTCTCTATTTCCTTGCTAATTTTTTGTCTAGAGTATCTATCCAGTGATGTCAGCGGGGTGTTGAAGTCCCCTGCTATGATTGTATTGCTATCGATTTCTCCTTTGAAATCTTCCAGAAGATATTTAATATATTTTGGTGCTCCTATATTAGGTGCATACATGTTTGTCCAGGTTATATCTTCGTGTTGGATAGATCCTTTCAATATTATGTAGTGGCCTTCTTTGTCTCTAGTTATGGTCTTCATTTTGAAATCTATTTGATCAGATATGAGTATTGCTACCCCAGCTTTGTTTTGCTTTCCGTTTGCTTGGAAAATTTTTTTCCATCCCTTCACTTTCAACCTATGTGTGTCTTTTGTTGTGAGGCGTGTCTCTTGTAAACAACTTATAGATGAGTTATGCTTTCTTATCCAATCAGCTACTCTGTGTCTTTTTATCGGAGCATTCAATCCATTTACATTTACGGTGATTATTGATATGTATTTATTTATTGCCATTTTTGTTTAGTGTGGTTCTATTTTTCTTCCTATTTCTCCTGCTAATCACAGCAGTCCTTTTAACATTTCTTGCAGTGCTGGTTTGGTGCTAATGTATTCCCTTAGTCTTTTTTTGTCTGGGAAGGTCTTTATTTCACCTTCTATTTTGAATGATAGCCTTGCTGGGTAGAGTAGTCTTGGATTCAGATCCTTGTTTTTTATGACCTTGATTACCTCATGCCATTCCCTTTTGGTCTGTAGTGTTTCTGTTGACAAGTCAGCCGAGAGCCTTATGGGGTTTCCTTTGTAGGTAACCTGTTGCTTATCTCTTGCTGCTTTTTGGATTCTCTGTCTTTAATTTTTGGCATTTTGATTACTATGTGTCTTGGTGTGGGCCTGTTTGGGTTCTTCTTACTTGGGGCTCTATGTGCTTCTTGAATGTGAATGTCTTCTTCTTTCACCAAATTAGGAAAGTTTTCTGTCACTATTTCTTCAAATATATTCTCTAACACTTGCTCATTTTCTTCTTCCTCAGGGACTCCTATGATGCAAATGTTATTACGTTTCCAGTTGTCCCACAGTTCTCTTAAGCTGTCTTCCTGTTTTTTAATTGTTCTTTCCTTTTGGTTTTCTGATTGGTTGATTTTTTTTTCTACCCTATCTTCTAATTCACTGATCCGGTCCTCAGCTTCCTCTACTCTGCTGTTTAGACTTTCCAATGTGTTCTTTATTTCTGATATGTTAGTCCTTTTCTTATCTGTTCTCCTTTCTTCTGTAATTACCAGGTACAGTAGTCCCCCCTTTATCTATGGTTTTGCTTTCCTCGGGTTCAATTATACATGATGAACCATGGTCCAAAAATATTAAATGGAAAATTACAGAAATAAACAATTCATAAGTTTTAAGTTGCTCACCATTCAGGGTAGCATGATAAGATCTTGTGCTGTGCCACCCAGGATATGAATCATTTCTTTGTTCAGTATATCCATGCTGTGTACACTACAATAAGATTTCGAGAGAGAAAGCACATTCACATAGCTTTTATTACAGTACATTGTTATAGTTCTATTTTAGTATTGTTGTTTATCTTGTACTATGCTTCATTTATAAATTAAACTTTATCGTAGGTATGTATAGTCATGCATTGCATAACAATGGAGATACCTTCTAAGATATGTATTGTTAGTCATTTTCTTTGTGGAACATCATAGAGTACACTTACATAAATCTAGATGATATAGCCCACTACACAACTAGGCCATATGATATAGCCTATTGCCTCTAGGCTACCAACCTGTACAGCAAGTTACTGTACTAGATACTGTAAGCAATTGTAACACAATGATAAGTGTTTCTATGTCTAAACATAGAAATGGTACAGTGAAATATGATGTAAAAGACTTAAAAATGGTACACCTGCACAGACACTTACCATGAATGAAGATTGCATGACTGAATGTTGCTCTGGATGAGTGAGTGGTGGTGAGTGAATGTGAAGGCCTAGGACATTACCGTACTCTATTGTAGACTTTATAAACACTGCACACTTAGGCTACACTAAATTTATAAAACATGAGATTAAGCACACAAGAAAATGATTCAATCAAGAGATGTAGTAAACTCAAGATATAAGAAACTGCTGGCAATATAACATGATATATGTTTCACAGAGAACTTTTTTTTTTTTTTTATCCTCACCCGAGGACATTTTTCCATTTTTTGTTCAGGTAGAGTGGGAGGGAGAGAGAGGAAGAGAGAGAGAGAGAGAGAGAAAAACATCGATGTGAAAGGAACACATCAAGTGGCTGCCACCCACACAACCGACCAGGGCCGGGGACAAACTGCAACTGAGGTACGCGCCCCTAGGGGGAACCGAACCCAGATCTCTCAGGACCGCAGGCCGATGCTCCCACCGCTGAGCCAAACCGGCCAGGGCACAGAGAACTTTTTTATAAGTAAAAAAATTACACTCTAAAATTTTAATAAAATGTATAGTATAATCAATAATAACTCAGTAACAGTTGTTTGTCATGACTATCAAGTATTAGGTACTGTACATAATTTTGTGTGCTGTACTTTTATATGACTGGCGACACAGTTGGTTTATTTTTTTGTTTTATTGATTTTTTAGAGAGAAGGGAGAGAGAGATAGAAACATCGATGTAAGAGAGATACATCAATCGGCTGCCTCCTGCACAACCCCTAATGGGGATCGAGCCAGAAACCTAGGCATGTGCCCTGACCGGGAATCGAACCAGGACCACTTAGTCCATGGGACTACGCTCAATCCACTGAACCACACCAGCTAGGCACAGTAGGTTTCTTTATACCAACATCACAAACACGTGGATAATGCATTGTACTAAGACATTTCAGTGGCCACGATGTTATTAGGTGATAGGAAATTTTCTACTCCATTATAATCTTATGGGATCACTGTGGTATATGCGGTCCATTGTTGACCAAAACATTATGTGGCACATGACCATGTGTATAGGAAAAAACATAGGATATATAGGGTTTGGTACTACCTGTGGTTTCAGACATCCATCAGGGACTTGGAACATATCCTCTATGGAAAAGGGGGGACTACTGTAATTACCTAATAATCTAATTAGTAGAATACCCTGCTTCTCTCTTTCATCCCTTGAAGCTTTCCTCATAGTATAGGTTAACCAGTAGCACAGTAACCTAGAGCTTTGATGAAAATTCTAATGCCCCTGGCCCCCAAGTCAAACCTACACAGTCAAAATTTCTGGACCGAGACTAGGAGTCTATATTTCAACAAAATTTTCTGAGTGTTTTCTTAGGTGTTTTAAAGTAGGAAGCTTGAACAAAGCAAAACCTAAAAAAAAGGTTATTTTTTTTTCTTTCTTCTCCAAATTTAGCCATGATTTTAGTTACCTCGTTAGTGGCTCAGAAGATAAGTATGTTTATATCTGGAGTACTTACCATGACCTAAGCAAGTTTACTTCAGTCAGGAGAGATCGTAATGACTTTTGGGAAGGTATTAAAGGTAAGTAAATGCCTGCTTTTGTGTGTCTTTTATAAGTGAATAAACTTAAAGTTAATAAATTTAAAGTGCAGATGTACTAGAAGCAAATTTGTATAGGCATTATTTCAGAGAGGCAGTTATAACCGATTTGGCTTTGTTGGATTTTTCTATACTAAAGAAGAACTTATACTTGTGTAAAATCATAGAAGTCATGGGAATCTCAGAACTTGTATGTGGTATTATTTTTAGAAAATATTTTTGGGCCCGGCTGGTGTGGCTCAGTGGATTGAGCATCATCCCATGGACTGAGAGGTCCCTCCCAGTTCGATTCCTGGTCAGGGCACATGCCTGGGTTGTGGGCTCGATATTAGTGGGGGGCGTGCAGGAGGCAGCTGATTGATGTTTCTCTCTCTCATTGATGTTTCTATCTCTCTCTCCCTTCCTCTCTCTCTCAAAAAAAAAATTAAAAAAATTTTTAAAAGAAAATATTTTGGGGTTTCTGAATATGTTGAGAAGCTAGTAAAATCTGCAGAGAGGACCACATCCTCAATAATTTCCACAAATTTACAATTTTTCAGGTAAAGCTATACTTTAATGAATCAAAATAAATTAATTTTTTACAATCTAGAAAAGAAAAAATATATTTGGGTTGTAAATAGTTCTTAGTTACTTAAATGTTAGTGTTAAAAGATATTTGCATATAAAATATGCTATTGTATTTTTTGCATGTTTTACTTTCTGCCTTCTTGTTTAGAATCAAATTTGTTAGTTATCCTGAAGTAATTTTTTTCCCCAGCACATAATGCAGTTGTTACATCGGCCATCTTTGCTCCAAACCCAAGTTTGATGTTGTCTTTGGATGTGCAACCTGAAAAGTCAGAAAGTGAAGATACTGAAGTTTTAGATACCATGCCGTCTGGTAGGTACTCATATTTTATTTGTCCTACTTTTTTTCTAGTCAACATTTAGTAGCCTAATTGACCCTAGTATTGGGTAGTTTGAGGTTTTTATAAGTATGAAGAATATTTTTGTTTACAACATAATGATTGTCAGATACCCATTTCCGAACATTTCAGTAACATAGTTCTTGAAAGTATTACTTCTTTTTAAGTTCACCTGGGAATTACAATGAAAAATTTGAAAGTTCTTAATTTCTTTTATGGGCACCTGTTCTTCTTGGGGAAACATAAACAAAGACATACAACTACAAAATGTATTATGTGTTTCTTCTACTAGCCAGAGGTTCTCAACCTGTGGGTCGTGACCCCTTTGGGGGTCAAACGACCCTTTCACAGGGGTCACCTAAGACATAACAGTAGCAAAATTACAGTTATGAAGTAGCAATGAAAACAATTTTATGGTTGGGGATCACTACAACATGATGAACTGTATTCAAGGGTCGCGGCATTAGGAAGGTTGAGAACCACTGTACTAGACTATGATTTCTGTGAGGACAGAGATTTTTATGTCTTATTTCTTGTAGTGCCAGTGTCTAGCACAGTGCTTGCCTGTATATAGTAGCTGTGCTTAATAAACATTTGCTGATTAAATGAATTAAACCAAAGTGAAAGCACTGTTTTTTTCTACTTGCCACAAATTTGTAGCTTCTCTTAGATAACTATTTATAATCTTGTAATTTCTTGCCATTTGCAACATATGCTTTGAGAATTATTACTAACTCCAATTCTATAAATTCGCAGACTAGGAAGTGAAAAGAAGCCATCCTGTAATATTGAATGCCAATTATGTAAAAAGTGGTCCTTAAGAGTATAAAATCATGTAAATTTGGACCAGTTGTTAATGAAGACAAGTTTGCATTATTAAAATCACTTGCGGAAGAGTTCATTAAATGTGTTTTTTCACTGTAGAGACTACAACCAGGCCTTTTAGAGAATTGTAAAGCCACAACAATAGATATAGTGTAAAAAGGTGCTTCTAAAAGTATTTTAATGCTTAAAAGTTCTCAAGTATTTTTATTTCATTTAATCTCAAGTAATTTCCCCTGTGGTATTATTTGCACTTTACACTACACTAAATATACTATTTCTTCTGTCAAGAAAAATTTTGATAGCAAAGATGAACTTCAGTCCAGCAACTTTTTAAAATTACAGGATTTAAAAATAAAACAACTTAGAATTATTAAACCTTTCCTAAACACTTGTTTGGAAATATTTCTTTTCATTTTCTTTTTCTCAAAATCAAATCCAGCTTCTCTTTTCTAACTTAAATATTTTGGGTTTTTTTTTCTTTTCTTTTTCCCCAGTGATATCTTTTAACAGTCTATACATTTCTCCTACACATTTCACAGAAAATTCTAGCTTTTTAAACAAGTTGAGGAAAATTACTATTCTTTAAACTTCTTTTTAAAGAGGCACAACTTTTAATGGATCATAGTCAGATTTTTGTTTGCTGTTTTGTACCTATCTAGGTATAATCTAAGTATGAATTCTTTTTTTTTGGGTGCGTGCCCCTAGCGGGAACCAAAACCCAGGACTCTCTGGATAATACCAAGTTTACAAAGTTGTGATAAGAATTGAAGATAACATACATAAAGTGACTAGCAAAATGCCTGGAATGTAGGCAACGTTATCATTATCATCTTCATTATTATTGAATATGATGAATTATTTTTTCTCTAGCCTTTCTCATATCCCTAAATACTTTGCTGCTGCTTCTGCTGCATAGCACTACTTTGAGATATGCCTAAAGGATAGGAAGGAATGTTCAAAGGCTTAGGATATGTTTTTAGCAAATTTAAGTGAAACCATTTTGTCTAACTCATCCTGTGCACAATTTTCCAGTTAAACTTTGTATTATTTTCTTCCTTATTATTCAGTCCTTAAATCCACAAATGTTGTGGATGCATAATAGAGTTAGTTTACACTGAATTTTGTCTGTTAAGTGCTTTTACTGGTAAATATAAAATGTGAGTGTTTTTCCCAGTCACCATAGCTAGTTACATAGATTTTCAAATGGATTATAAAGGGAAAAGTTTCTGTCAGCATTCACAGATCATGTGTACTTCATTTCATGGCAGTTTCAGTATGTCTGCTGTACAGTGAACCTTACCATCAACCTCATTAGAGAACCCTGTTAACAATAGACTTGCCCAGCTAATCCCATCCTGCCAGCACTCCAGCTCTGGAGCTGAATAACACACTAGTCTCTTGCCACAAAATGAAGCGTTAGACAATTTATAGGCCTAGGCTGCCTGGGAGTAAATCCAGGCCTCCAGGCCCCAAGGGACTGTAATCTCCCCAAGCCAGGGAAAGACCAGCTAAGACAAGTTAAGTGGAAGTGAGCCCCAGAGAGGTAAAGGAGGATGGAAGGATTACAGAATTGAGCCAGGAAAGTGAGACCGAAAAGACAGAGAGGATCTTCCACCCCATAAGTCATGGTCATTTGACAATTGTGACAGCAGGCTTCATAATCCTTTTAAGTCAACTAAAAATATATTTTTTTTATGTTTTAAGGTATTATGAAGACAGATAACACAGAAGTTCTTCTCTCTGCTGACTTCACTGGAGCAATCAAAGTGTTTATTAACAAAAGGAAAAATGTATCTTAATTTAAAATGCCATTTAAAATAAACCTATCAGTAACTTTCTATATGTATCAGAACTGAAAAAAAAATATTATAGTGTTCTAGGCTAATATCCTTTTTTAAATTTTTTTTGGAAGTTGTTCAAATATAATATATTTTTTAGAGGCAGTGTTAATTGTCTAGTTAACCCTGGACTGATAGACTAGAAAGGAATGTGGCTAGAATAACATTGCCAAACAATAGGCTTTACGTTTTGTTATATTTGTGTTTTTGTTACATAATTGTGAACATGCACAGGTTTCTGCATGAAAATATATTAATATATTAATCCCATGTGTGTGCCTTTTGGTTACATGCACTAAATCTTAACAAAGTTAAATTATTTCAATGGCTCTTTTGGCCTCTTATTGGGGAAGGAGTCTTGTTTCTAGCTTAAACAATTTATTTTGCACAAAATTTCATTTTTAAGAAAAGTGGTATCTTTTGACTGAGTTATTGTTTTAAAAATGTTATATAGGTTTTCAGTAGGTCAACAACCATGTGTAAATGGTTTTTATAAATTTCTCAATTTGGGGACAAGATTTTTTTTGTGGTCTAAATTGTGGACTTAAGATTCTTTTCTGTATGTGTATATATAATTTTTTTTTCCACACTGGAGCACAATGTTTCTATGTAAAGAATTTTTTTCATTCTTTATCCATGAGCACCAGGCTTTGCTCACTTAAAAAAAAATTAAGCCACATTAAGGAGTGAATCTTCTTTTTTACAATAATGTAAAAATGAACTGTTTACATTTTTTTAAGGCATTGTAGTTTTAAAAACTAAGCTGTTTTATTTTGTGTTGTTGAATTTGAAAGCCTTTGTAAATATTGATACACTGTACCAATGAAATAACATCTGGGGCAATGGTACCCTGATCATGTTGTTGATGGTTAGCATATGTTTCTGAAAATTAAATAGTTTATTAAAAGTTGGTCACCAACACTTGTTAAACATGTGACTTTATTTTCAGATGACTTTGGTAATTTGAGAAATGCAAGAAAAACAAAGTCTTGTTTTATAATTTGATTTTTTAGCAAGCAGAGGCCAGATTTTAAACCCTTAAGTTATAATGCATTAGCTACATACCTTTAAGAAAAAAAAAATTACCGATGGACATAGACAACAATGCTGGGGGTGGGGACAGGAACAAGAGGAGGGTGTCGAGGGGGGAGAAGGAGAAACATCTATAACAAAAATAAATTAAATAAAAAAAAGAAAACATTTAATTCTGGTTCTAAAATGAACATTTCTGAGAGTTTATCTACGTGCTTATATGTTCTTTACTATATTTGTTTTCAGTATGTAAGAAGCTAGGGAGCCATGATCATATCATTGTTAATCAGCATGGTCTTGGAGTAGTCTGGGTTTTCTAGTTAATAATTGCATATTGTTTGACTTTTTACTCCTATCTTCCTCTTGTCAGTGCTGTACTCTCCTGTCCTCCTCTCCCCTTTCCTCATTCTCCTGTCCCCATCTCTGCTCACTCTTCTGTATTCTACCAAACAGATGGAGTAGTTAAGCCATTGGCTTTCTAACCAGTCAGTTTGTTTAGTCTCAAGGTCTGGATTTGTCTAGTGTTTCATAGAACTTGATGTCCATAGGTCTTTGAGGCAGAAGAAAAACTGAACAATATTCTTCCCCAAAATGAGTATTAGAGCCCAGCCAATGTAGCTCAGTGGTTGAGCGTCACCCCATGCACCAAGAGGTCACTGATTTGATTCCTGGTCAGGGCACATGCCCAGGTTGTGGGTCGGATCCCCAGTGGGGGGCATGAAAGGGGCGGCCAATCAGTGTTCTCTCTCATCGATGTTTCTATCTCTTCCTCTACCTTCCTCTCTCTCTAAAATTAATAAAGAAAAAAACTGAGTATTAGAGACTCACTATGATAAGTGATATGGTATTCTAGAAAAGAGCACATATTCTAGAATCAAACTTGGATTTGGTTCCCTCGATTAGCACATTCCTTGGGCAAGCTATTTATCCTATAATGATTTCCATTTCCTTAAGTGTAATATGAAAATATGTAACTGAAATTATAAAGATTTAATGAGAAATTATATATGTGTAAAGCTTGGTGCCTACCCAATAGCTGTAGTCAACAAACATATATTTCTAACTGTCTCTCCTGAATCTATGAGATGAAAAAAATACTGGATGAAAAATGTGTGTGTGTGTGTGTGTGTGTGTGTGTGTGTGTGAGCACTTTCTAGACATTGGGATTTCAAGAACAAATAGCATTTTAGGGATTTACATAGAGCACTGACATTTTTTTGCCAGCTTGACACTTTTTAAACTTCCACCATCTACTTTCACTTCTTCAAAAAGGAGAGAACATTTTACAGCTGGGCAGTGACTTTTTATTCTTTGAAATATATGTTAAATATTAATATATCCATCCCAGAAATTCTCATTTTCATTGTATAATTTTGAGAGAGGCCAGATCTCTCCCACTGGTGTGAAAAAATCAAATTATCAGAATATTTGTAAGTACCTTCATTATTATGGGGATTCAACTTAAAAACATTTTGAGGATTTGCTATTTCCCCATAAGTTTTCAAAAGAAAAATATTCCCAACTTCACTGGTTTCTAGCATCATGCCTTACTTATTAAGCAGATGTATATTGAATACCTATTATGTACAGAGCACTGCTGAGACTAGGGAAAAATAAGGCAGCACCCTTGTGCCAGAAGAGCTTACATCTTCTGGTGGAGAAGATGGGCCACAGAAACAAGAGGCTTGGAACTGTCTTGTGGCTGTGGCCCTACAAGTGCCCCTTCTTGCCCTAACCCTTCCTGCTCTACCCTTCCTAGTAATTCATGGCAGCCACTTGATTCTAAGGCCAATCTTTATCTAATATTACAAGTAATAAGGGTAATATGGGTACAAGTTTATGAGTAAGTGATAGGTAAGGCAGAGAAAATGGAGCACCCACCCTGTCAACATCTCCCCTGGTCTCTTGCCCTCTTCTCCTAGCAGAAAATAATTATTTTCCCCAAAATCTTAACTGTCTTCTATTTTGAGCTCTTGTTTAACAGACTCCTCTTCCCCAACTGCTCTCTTGTTCCCTTCATTTCCGAAGCTTGACCCACTTTATTTTGTTTTGTTCTCTAAATTTGAGTCATCTAGTCTTCTGGGGAATCCAGGCAACCCCTGTTAACCACAGCCACTGTTTTGGTGTAGATCCATTCGCATGAAATGCATTCAGATCAATACAGCAGGTCCCAGGGGGTGGGGGGGGTGTTAAGATGAGAGGAGAGATTCATTGCAGTATCCCAAATAAATCAAATGACATCCTGTAGGTTATCTAGGGTGGTCCAAGCTGATAGATTTTGCTTGTACATCTGTCTACACTTTATTACGTTTTTAAAATTTTTATTTTGGAATAACTAGATTTACAGGAAAGTTACAAAGACAATGCAGAGAGTTACCACATATTCCTTACCCAGTTTTCACTAATGCTAATATATTACCATGGTACATTCATCAAAATTAAGAAACCAACACTAGTACATTACTATTAAATAAACTCAAGACTTTATTCAGATTGCACCAGTTTTTCTACTAATGTCCTTTTTCAGTTCTAAGATCCAATCCAGGATATCATATTACACTTAAACACATTATGCTTTCTTAATTTAAATAAACTTTTTATTTTAGAATAGTTTTTCAGAATAGATTTTCACAAAAGTTTGCGAAGAGTTCACCTATCACCAGCACCATTTACCCCCTATTCATTTTGTTTTGTTTTGTTTTGTTTTTCTTTATTGATTTTAGAGAGAGAGAAACATCAATGAGAGAGAAATCAATTGGCTGCCTCCTGGATACTCCCCACTGGGGATCGGGCCCACAACTCTGTCATGTGCCCTGACCGGGAATCGAACCAGCGACCTCTTGGTGCATGGGTCAATGCTCAACCACTGAGCCACACTGGCCAGGCTCCCCCTATTATTAATACATTACTGTGGTACATTTTTCACATCAAGAAACCAACATTGGTACATTACTAACTAAAAGCCACACTTTATTTAGATCTCACTAGTTTTTCTTTTCTTTTCTGAGATCCTATCTAGGATATGACATTACATGCATTTGTGAGGTCTCCTTAGGCTCCTCTCAGCTGTGGCATTTTCTCAGACTTTCCATGCTTTTAATGACCTTGACAGTTTTGAGGAGAACTGGTGAGGTATTTTGTTGAATGTCCCTCAATTTGGGTTTGTCTAATGTTTTTCTCATGATTCAACTGGGGTTCTGGACTTTTGGAAGGAAGACCACAGAGGTGCATTGGTCTTTACATAACATGAAAGATCCATAATCAATATGACATCATCTAGCTGAGATAGTGTTTGTCAGGTTTCGCCATTATAAAATTACTTTTTTTCTGCCCTGGCCAGTTTGGCTCAGAGGTTAGAGCATCGGCCCACAGACCAAAGAGTCACAGGTTCGATTCTGGTCAAGGGCACGCATACCTCAGTTGCGATAGTCCCCAGCCCTGGTCGGGGTCGTGCGGGAGGCAACCAGTTGATGTGTCCCTGTCACATTGATGTTTCTCTCTCTCTCTTTGCCCCTCTCTCCCTCCCACTCTATCTGAGATAAATGGGAAAATATCCTCAGGTGAGAATTAAAAAAATAAAGTTACTTTTTTCTCTTTTTCCATAAATATCTCTTTGGAAGTGAATCATTAACTCAAACTCAAGGACTGGGGAAGAGTGAAGGTCCACCTTAACGGCAAGTATCTCTATAACATTTTTTTTTTTAATCCTCACCTGAGGACATTTTTCCTTTTTTTGTTGTTGTTGTTGTTCAGATAGAGTGGGAGCGGGAGAGAGAAAGAGGAAGAGAGAGAGAAACATCGACATGAAAGGGACACATCGAATGCCTGCCACCCACACGACTCAACCAGGGCCGGGGACAAACTGCATCCAAGGTACGTGCCCTTAGCGGGAACTGAACCCAGGTCTCTCTGGACCGCAGACTGATGCTCTAACTGCTGAGCCAAACCGGCCAAGGCAAGTATCTCTACAACTTATTTGGGATTGTTTTGTACAGAAGACAAGTCTCTTCTCCCCCATTTATTTATAAAGTCAACCATTTATGTCAGCATGGACTTATGGGCATTTATTTTATACCTTGAATTATAAATTCAAAACTGCATTATTTTGTTATTAAAGTTGTTTCAGCCATAGCCATGGGATTTTTTTGTTTTTGTTTTATGTCCCTTTGACATGCCCTCATTTTTTTATTCTTTTTTTGAATACTCTTTCTGTCATTTCAACATACTTCAGGCTCATCTTATATATTTCCTGCCCCACCCTAAAATCGGCCATTTATCCAAGGAGCCCTAGTTCCTTTATTGGAGAATGGTATTAGAAACCAGGTATACAACTATATATTAAATTAGAGTTGTTACGAATATCATTGACTCTAACCCATTAACACATGGTTCATTCTAGCTTCTAGCTTCCTCTTCTTGCTTATCAGTAACCTCCAACAGAAGAAACCTGGCCCCCACCATTTATTATCCACTTACTTATTTGTTCAATCCCAGCATAACATATTCAGCAGTTCCAGAATTGAATTCACAACTACCTGAGAAACAACTTTACCAACTAGAATACAGTGTGTATGTTCTTTCTCTTTGGTTTCATAGTTTCCAATCAAAACACTGTTTTCCATAATAACTTAGGTCAGTGCCTTCCCCTCACCACCTACATTACCTTTTTAATATATTCATTTCAATTATCCTTCTAATAAAATCTATTGGGATTTGATAATATACAGAGTCATACTTATTTAGTAAGTAAGCAGTGAGATTCTTCTGTAGACAGCTTTCTGCCTTGCCTTCAGGCACTTAGCATTCTCCTAAAGCAGTTTTACAGTTCTGTCCAGTTGGTGTGCTGAGGTTTCACTCATTTCTCAAACATCAAGAGCTTAGTCTATATAAAGAGC